CTACCTCGCAGCATACCGTGGGCAAGTTTTGCTGCTGTGGGTCGCCGCCCCTTCGTTTTGCCTGTGCGACGATAGGTAGTTGGTCAGGCAACAGTGCCTACCGTCGTTCGTCTACCCACACCTTGCAGGATCACCTGTACCACATTTTGTCAGTGTATCAGCCTCCTCCGCGTCCTGGCAGAACGCCTTTTCCCATGATATCGGGGAGGAGAGTGACATTCCCGCGCCTGAGACAGCACAGCAGCACAGCAGTCAAGAAGGAAGAGATACTTGTACATAGGAGATCGGAGATACTTCCACAGAGCGACACAAGGAGGAGAGTGGAGAGCGACAGCGAGAAGAGAGAGGAGGGTGCTTACTCCAACGAAGCTCTCAATAACGGTGCCAACTGTTGCAGGGAAGCTTACTCTGAGAATGTCAGGCCTTCGGTGCGTTGGTCGGAGGGCCATTTCTTGACAGGGGAATCGCCTCCACCACGGTCAACACTGCACCTATATACGTGACATTGCTCTGTGATCTGTGGACAGGGAGCACAACAATTGGTAAAGAGCTGGGTGTCATGCTGCATGGCGGTCACTCTTCTCGGTTCGGTGAGGGCAACGCCGCTGGGGGTAGGAGTTTGTCAGAGTTCGGCCAGAAGCTTTTCGCCAACTTGTTGTCGCGAGTTGCGCTCACGCTCTTGCCGTCAAGCAGGAGTTTGACGAGGGCCTGATGACACTGCGGCGGCTTCGGGTTGAGACAGGATCGAAATGGCCTAGTCTGTGATGACGGAAACGAAGGGAGGCGCTGTTAGATGGGACGACGGGCCGCTGGTTGACGTGCCAAGGTTCTCTGCCGCAGTGGGTGAATCGAAAACGTAGCTACAGGTCTGGCAGCAGGTGAGTTCTGTTGACCCTTCGGGGTGTGTTTCTGCGACGTAGACCGTGAAAGGTTGATGCTGTGTCTGTTTGGCACAACTCGATATTCTGAGCAAGCTTCAAGATGACCAGATTCTGACCCTCCGTCCTCGCGCCTCGCTCCGCCTCGATCAGTACTTGAGTGTAATGCCGGGCGGTGAGACCTGATTGGTCCCGTTTGTTGCAACCATGAAGAAGCGCACACCTCCGCGGCCCTCCTCCCCCCGCCCCCTTATGCGGATAAGGTGCAAGGCACGATCGATGTGGCCAAATATTCTCGACCGGAGACTGGACGAAGCCGGGATTCGGGCGTATCGACAGGAGAGCGAACAAAAGGCTGTGGGTGCTCGTTTGCATACATTATTTTACTGCTGTCTCAAATTGTCCAAAGTGATCGGCTTATCGGTACGTACAGTAGCCCAAATGCCAAACCGCAAGATTTTGATTCTAGCCCTTTTCGCGCTTGGTTGCCTGTGGTTTGCTTCCCGGCTCTTTCGATTCACTGGGTACTATTTCAGCTTGTCGAGAACTCCTTGGAGCCACCTCGTTTTGATCACCACGCAATATATTGTGTGGTAGGTTAGCAGTGTCCAAGCGATAGGATAGTGCAATCGAGCATCATCACCATCATCGTCATCGTCATCATAATCATCACCAGCAGTAGCAGCAGAAACAAGAGCAACAAGAATTGACATTGATGTCTTGATCCTAGACTATGCTACACCTTGCGTCCAAAGCATTTCAGAAGCCACCTGACACCGCATTGTTCACCAACGATATCGTGTGCAGTTCATACCGCAATAGCACGTCGCGGTGGTCAAGGATTTAGAAGTCGAGATGTTCAACGAACGATGTACCATTGGTTTGATGAATGGCCGCGTCTCGATGGTGGTGTTCCAGGAGTGAGACAGACAAGTAGATCGCGATCAAGTGGTTAACCGTTTTGTGACGGGAGTTACTGTGGCTCTTCCGGGAGGCACAAAACGCTGTTTACCACCAATAGTCCGAAATGTGGAAATAGAAAGGGGAAGAAGGACAAAGAAGTCTGACTGGCCGCACACATACGTTGCGAGCAGCGCCCGCGGAGTTGCGCGCAGCCAGCACGAGCAAATAGGGCATGTGCCGTGGCCGGGGCCGGGGATAGAGTATCAGGTGCACTCCGAACGGTCTGAACGGGGAAGGCCCACACCCACCATGGACTTAGGCTGCACGTGTTCGCAACGGACACATCGCAATCACCCACAAACTAGAGAAAAAGGCTGGTTCGTAGCTGCTGCATCAACACAGCACCCCGTGCACGATGTCTGTCTTCTCTCTCTCTCTCTCTCTCTCTCTGGTACCACGAATGCCTCACCCCGAGCGGTGGGCAACCTAACAGTGTCATATTCGTTTGATCAGTGCCCTTCCGGTGCCTTTCAGTAGGCAACACAACANTCCGAACGGTCTGAACGGGGAAGGCCCACACCCACCATGGACTTAGGCTGCACGTGTTCGCAACGGACACATCGCAATCACCCACAAACTAGAGAAAAAGGCTGGTTCGTAGCTGCTGCATCAACACAGCACCCCGTGCACGATGTCTGTCTTCTCTCTCTCTCTCTCTCTCTCTCTGGTACCACGAATGCCTCACCCCGAGCGGTGGGCAACCTAACAGTGTCATATTCGTTTGATCAGTGCCCTTCCGGTGCCTTTCAGTAGGCAACACAACAACATTAGAAACACGCAGGATCGGATGCGCTCCGGCAAACGCGGCTGAACGCATGTTGCTGAAGACAAAAAATGCACATCAACAGCACATACATCATGCAACGTCTAGCACTGCTGTCAGGTCATAAAAGAGCCTTTGCCGCCATTGAGGACGTAGGCCTATCCCTTGAAAGGGCTTAGGCACAAGCGCGCGGCGAAAGATTGCGCATGGCCCTTCTGTTGAGCACGCCAGAACAGGTGTCACCCAGTGTAAAAAATCAGTATGGTGTTTTTACAAAACCCACGCGGGACCGCTGTCCATACTAAATTAGACTTAGGGTGAGAGACAGATGGAGAGGGAGAGTCTACTGAAAAAGTCCCGTGTGCCTTCAACGCCGATAGCGATGTCGATACCCCACGGAGCCCCTCTGGCCAGCGCCACACACGCAGTTTACGCCGACAATAATGGGCGACATGGACGACGTAGCCGCGTTCTGGCAGCACCATGCTGAGGGTTTCTGTCCACAGGGCAACCCGCTCAACGTTTGGGGAGAATTACTGCTCATAGCAGCACAAACGCCTGAGCGTTTCCGCGAAGCTTTGCAAGCGGCCGCAGACGCTGTTGGTGCCCGGTACTGCAACCACGATACTCCGCCGGGTCCGCTCCCTGATATCAGCAAACTGCCGGAGAGGCAGGCCGCCGCACAGCAACACGCTGGATTATGCGGAAAGTACCACGCGGAACACATCGCCAACATCGACGTCACCATGGTGGAAGAGAGGGCAGCAGGAGCTGAGATCACAACGAAAAGAATGAGGGATCAGGTGTGTGTGTATTGGATTGCTGTGTTGTGGGGTATGCACTGCTGTGTATGTGTGCCAGGAAGTGTGTACGAGGCCAGAGTGGTGGTGGGAGTGCCATACGAACGACATGTATCTGTCTGTGGCCTGCTGACACCTTAGGCCGGAAAGAGAGGCACGTTGTGTTGTTGTGTTGAATACTTCACATATACGACCTGCAGCTGTTGACACAACTTCGACACCGCGAGAGAATCGGTGTTTTTAGCCCTGACGTTGTCGGTGTCCTGCTGCTGTCAGCAGCCAAAGAAGCTTGTGATGAAAGCTTATTTGTGCGGGAAGTACGCCGACGGGCGTGTTGGCGGGTCAGTTACATGTGTATACATTGTTCTGGCGGGAGGGTTGTTATCGTCTGGGTCGACATGTTCACAGCCTGTCATCAAACGCGCTACAGAAGTAGCAAAATTGCTGGTGCTTTGTTCCACTAAATTTTAGTCGGACAACATCAAACACCTGGCGGCGTGACCTGATCTTCCGAGGGACAAATTCTCGTTGTCGAGAATCTATGTGGACAGGCATAAACAGCACCACCTACCATGTTGTCGCGTTCACACCGATGCCCTTGACGCGTGCAGGCCTGCTACGACGCCGGGACGGCGCTCAACGCGCGAGGCCGTGGGGTTCAGCTGAGGAGGCAGGAGTGCTTCACCCAGGCCTGCCGCGCGGTCTTCCCTGACGACCAGCCGCTGCCCGTAGCTGTACTTGCCGCTCTTTCGATGTAGTGTGTGGCACACGTGCCATCGGCTACGCATGCGGGGCAAGGTAGCTATGTTGTCTGTTTTGATGAAGCCGAGACCGGCGGGCGAATGTGCTGGCTCGATTTCCCAATGGGCGAACGGGCTAGTGTAGTTGCAGCATTTCGACATCAACCGAATATCAGCCAGGTCTCAAACATGAACGGCGCGCGTGTGTGTTGACGGGGCGGGCTTTGGTGTGTCCCTGTGTATGCTGGAAAGGCTGGTTGTTCACGTGCTGCTGCTAATGGTGAAGGGTTGGGTCAACATTCCGTAACACCTTCGTTGTGCAAAAAAAATAGGAACACGAGTTCGTCACGGTTGTTGTCGGTCGCGCGGAGCAGGGCGGACTTGCACTTCGGGTGTCACAAATGAATAAACATAAATAAATTTTAAAAATAAGTTTGGCAAGAAAGACATTCGGAAACGTGGTTCCATGTGTCTTGGTTCTTTTGCGAGAGTTTCTTTCGTCTGTCCTTCAGGAATATCTTGGAGGTTCACGGGGATTCCGACAGGTGCACGAGAACATGTGCGTTCAATTCGTTTGGCATTCGAATTAAGCTCATTTATCCTACCTCACATCAACACAAGAAATGGACACGAATATTCTGTCCTGGTAATTGTATGCAGAGCTACTCACCACGCTCACCCCCGTCACAGCCCGAACGTGACACCCCTCAAATTTTCAAAACACACCGAAAAGCGGGGGGGGGGGTACAGTTTGCTTATGGACATTTTCCTTCCAAACGCGAACGAACGCCGAGCAGTTTGCCTGGCACAACCCGGGCTACCATGGCACAACCATCACACAACGGCCCCCAAGAACAAAACGCAACACAAGTGCGAATCACAGGTGTGCCTCAACCAGCAGTCTCAACTGAACCCCTCTGCCATTCGAACCCTTTTCTGTTGCGGCCCTTTGACAGACCATCCCAGTAAGCCTTCGCCGCCTGCTCGTGAGACTCCGGGCTCTTCCAGCATGTTTCGCACATAAAAACCCCAGACTCATCCCCCCGTGTGCAAAATTGCTCGCACGAGCACCCTTTCGTCGACCTCGTCTTGCAAGTAGGGTTCAAGCACAGGCGTCCACTCTTGAGGGTGACGCTACCCCACACGGGGTCGGCCGGCTTGTTGTCCGAGGCCGGACGCCTCCCACCCTTGTTGGGCCTCGCGACGTTACACTTCGCCATAAGGAGCGTTGCCATCTGTTCATCCCACACAGCCCGCTCTACCTTCGACAGTGTCGCCAACTCCGTCGACGCAAGCTCCAACTCTTCCAACTCACCCCCTGGTGCAATGGGCTTCTTGGCCTCTACCTCTCTGATCAAAAGTTCTACNGTGTTGGGCCTCGCGACGTTACACTTCTCCATAAGGAGCGTTGCCTTCTGTTCATCCCACACAGCCCGCTCTACCTTCGACAGTGTCGCCAACTCCGTCGACGCAAGCTCCAACTCTTCCAACTCACCCCCTGGTGCAATGGGCTTCTTGGCCTCTACCTCTCTGATCAAAAGTTCTACCCACTTGCGAAAAATGAGAAACGCGTTGGTCAGTGCCTGCTCCAACTTTGCGTCATACACACGGCGCCAGAAGTTCGTGTAGGACTTGTGGTCGTGCGTGTGAGACCCGTTCTGTTGGTCGGCCAAATCCACCCCCAACATGTTCAGAANGAAACGCGTTGGTCAGCGCCTGCTCCAACTTTGCGTCATACACACGGCGCCAGAAGTTCGCGTAGGACTTGTGGTTGTGCGTGTGAGACCCGTCCTGTTGGTCGGCCAAATCCACCCCCAACATCTTCAGAACGTAATCCATACGCATCCAAGGCTGCTGCAAATCCAGAGGTTCCCCGTTGCGGCCCTTCGCTCTCAGTCTGCACAACAGAA